CTCTACACACACTTATGTTCACATTTATGCCCACACACATAGTGAAATTAGACTGTTCTTTTAAATAATATCAAAAAATAGTTCCAAATGAATAATAGACCTAAGTTTAATATAACTAGAAAATAGGTACAATATTTGTGACCGTGGGTTGAGCAAAGATCTGTCTGTTAGACACAACATTTAAAAGAGCGTGTTGTAGAAGATGGGTCAGTGGAAGAGTTGATCCGCTTGGCTCTATTTCAATGGGGACGGTGAGCAGTGAAAAGGCCAAGTACCAGTGATCTTGTGCAGAAAGATCAGTGAGTGTGAGACCAGGCTGGCCTCTGATTGTATTGTATTGTTTTTGAGATGGAGAGCTCACTTTGTAGCCCTGACTAGTTTCAAATTCAGAGTAGAACAAGCTGGTCTCACTCTCAAGAGATCTGCCTGCCTCTGCCTCATGATGCTGGGACTAAAGGTGTGGACTACCATACCCAGCTAGATTTTAGAATCATGTAGTCTTTTTAGACAGTAGTCCCTTAGTTACTAGTTACCTGATTGACTCTTTCAAACGTTTTGTGATTCTCTCCTTTTGTTCCTTGTGTGGTGTGATTTTGTGTGACACCTGCACCACTGGGAATCGCAGTCAGGCAAGGGTCTGGCGAGTAAAGAATACACAGAGACGTGGGTCACTCATAAAGCAAGAATGTCAACTTTGCTGTGTTCCTGGGCAGCTTATATACTGCTCTCCTTGATTAGTAGCTCTTAGGATTTTCCACTGCACACCCATCAGAAACCACTTCTTTGTTATCAGGAACTCATGAGGGCTTCATGCTCAGAGCAGGTACAGGCAGGAAAACAAGTTGTTTACTCTGGCAGGCAAGAGGTCATAGAAAGTTCAGAGTCTGAGGGTCTGCAGCCCCTAACAGTTTTGTATGTACTTATTGCCATGTTTTCATGCTAAAATTATAAGAGATTAACTTCCACTAATTTTTATATCCTTTTGTCCAAAATATTTATATCCACTTTTTAAGATTGTGTTGAAAATATCAGAATATATGTTAGGGTATATGAGCCCCAATAGGCTAATGTTCCAGCTTCAGCAGATTCAGTCATATACCATTCGTTTCCTTTCCTGCCGCCAGTAGCTTTTTTTTTTCCAGCTTTTGTTTCCTTAGTTTTTAAAAATGATCCCCGTGGGTGGTGTTGATTCTCACTTAGGTAAGGTGAGGTAGCAGTTGGGCCAGTAGGAAAAGGCATGGAATGAACGGGTGGGCACTTTGGATCTGCAGATCATTGCAGTGTTAGACATAGAATGGATCTGAAATGCTTTTATGTCAGTGGTTTCCTGGTACGGGAGAATTGTTTGTATTCTGTCAATCATGTATTTTAATAAAACGCTGATTGGCCAGGCAGGAAGTAGAGGTGGGAAAGCCAGGCAGGAAGTAGAGGTGGGGCAATGAGAATAGGAAAAGGCTAGGGAGGAGGAAGCTCCCTCCGCCATTCCTGCCCAGACCACTGAAGAAGCAACATGTGAGCTGCCCAGCTAGAAAAGGTACTGAGCCATGTGGCTAATGTAGATAATGGAGTAATATGTGTTATAAGAGCTAATAAGTAGCCAGAGCTAAGGGCCAATCAGTTTATAACCTAATGTAGACTCTGTGTTATTTTCTTTGGGAATTGCCAGCTGTGGGGTACTGGGTGGGACAGAAACCCCAACAAGCCGGCCCTCATGTTACAGTTTCCTACAGTGATATTTTGTTTTATCAAATAAAGCTTGCTTGAAGATCGGAGTGCAGAGCTCAGCCACTAGAGGCCAGGCAGTGGTGGTACACACCTTTAATCCCAGGCCTCAGGAGAAAAAGGCAGACAGATCTCTGTTAGTTCACCCTGGGCTACACGAAATTGATTCAGTCTATAAAAGAAACAGAACTCACCCAAAGGTGATCCCATCACTAGGGAGGTAGAGAAGGGGGGATATCACTGGGCAAAGAGAGGAATATTGGGAGAAAGGAGATAGGAGCTCATTGCAGTGTGAGGAGCAGTCTGAAGCAGTCACTTAGAAGACAGGATCACCCTTTTGGTCTGAGGATTCGGTAGAGGTAAAAGGTCTCTCTAGTGGCTGGCTGCACTGCTTCTCTGATCTCTCAGCTTTCACCCCCTAATGTCTGACTCTGGGTTTTTATTAATAACAATTAGAATTCATAGGTAAGGGGAGATAACAGTTGGGTCAGTAGGAAAAGGCATGAACAAATGGTGGGCACTTTGGATCTGCAGATCATTGCAGTGGTTAGACATAGAATGGATCTGAAATGCTTTTATGCTGGTGGTTTCCAGGTGACTTAGACATAAAATTCTGTGAATTAAGTCAACCTGTCAAATCAAAATAAAGCTCAGAGAAGTTATCACAGGAAGACCACAATGCCATCTATCTTTTCCTTGCCTCTTCTTAAGTTGTCCATAACACATTTTGAAAACCAAGGTCGGGTACTTGAGAGATAGCCCAGTGGTTAAGAACAGAGGACCAGTTTTGGTTCCCAGCACCATACATGGAGGCTCTCTCTGTAACTCCAGTTACAGGGGCTCTGACTCCCTGTTTTGCCCTCCATGGACACCAGACATACACACCATACATATACATGTAGACAAACACTTATAGTACAAAAATAAATAAGTCTTTTATTTAAAAAAAAAAGCCAAGATAAAGCTGGGGAGATAGTTCAGTGGGTAAAGTACTTGCCCCAAAGTGTGAGGACCTGAGTTCAGAATCCACATAAAGCTGGACACAGTAGCATGTATTTCATAATCCCAGCGCTCAGATGATGGATGGGAGGGAGGCACAGACAGGAGAATCCACACTGGCCACCCATGAACCAGTGGGCCTGGCATTTACAGTAGCAAACAATCAGAGGCACCTTGGCAAACAAGGTAGAAAATGAAGGCAGACGCCCAAGGTCACCTGTCTACATGAGACTTACACACCTAGCCTCCTGCTCACAGTTTGCACTGGCTCAAACATGCATATGCACACATCATTTTTTTTTAAATCAAGTACACTTGTCCAGTTTGTTTTTTTTTTTAAAAAAAAGTATCTTCTCCTATGCATTTGACTTGTCAAAAATAAGCTATAAGTAAAAGGAATTTTAGAGTCTCAAGTTTTACGTCTGTTAGCTAAGTTTTCTTATAGCTATGGCAGAACTCATGGAATTGCTTAAAAGAGTAATTTTATCCATGATTTCATGAGTTCATCATCCTGGGGAAGGGATGGTAGAGCGGAGCATTTCACTCCGTCCTCGTCCAGAGCAGTAAGGGGTCAAGGCAAGACCATCCCCAAGTGACCTGCTCATTTAGGCCGGGCTCCCCCTGCCACTGGTTGGTTCACATTTTGAGTTCATCTCCTAAGTGTTTTGATCCAATCAAGTTAAGAATCAAGGTTAATCTTCACACTGTCTTTTCACTGATCCTATGCTGTCTTGATCACTGTTGCTCTGTAGTAAGTTTTTAACTGTGATAAACTTAATGCTTTTTTTTTTTTAGAGGTTCACTCTGTGGAGATGGCAATTGTTTAATCTTGAATAGTTTCTCTTCTGCTGCTTCCCTGCATATCTGGTCCCCTTTGAGTATCTGGCCACGTCTTACTTTGTTGCTTACTACATAGTTTGGCTGTCCTTGAAGTCTTCTGAGGTTTTGGTTTTTTTTGTCTTTGTTTTTGTTTTTAGATGTGGCTTACCTGGTGGTAGTTTGAGCCTTTCAGATCTCATTTCTATTATTCGCTAGGTGGGTCTGTTACACAGAGTGCTTCTATTGGCTAGTGCTCTTTCTTACAAAAACGTGCTCCTGAATACTGAGTGCTCTGTGAATTCTGTTTCCACTGTGTCAGTAACAGAGTAAATACCACAACTTCCCTCTCATGCCTTCAAGTACTTCTTTCCCAGGCCTTGCTGTAGGTTTCTAGCAGACGCCAGCATGGTTAGCACTCATGCGTCTGCTCCCCTCCAGGACCCTGTCCTGTTTCCTCCCCTGACACTTGCCCTTTGACTTGTATCAGCTACTTTCCCTTTTTGTGACAGAAGCAAATTAAGGGGAAGGGATTTGTTTAGACTCCCAGCTCAGAGGAATGCAGGTCATCCTCTCAGAAAAGCATGATGGCAGGAGGAGCTGGGACCATGGTGCCGACCGAGGAACATCAAGGTGATAACCAGTGCTCAGCTGACTTTCTCCTTCTCCCCTTTTTATGTGATATGTTTTAATCTGTGTGTACATTTCTATGTGAGTGTGGTCAAAGGACAGCTTCAGGTGCTGGTCCATACTTCCCATGCTATTGTTTAGAGTCTCTTGTCCATCGAGATGTTCCTGTCTCTGTTTTGCATCTCCTTGTAGAAGCATTGGGATACAGATTTTTTGCCTATTGCATCTTCCTCCCATGGGTTCTGGGGCTCCAAACTCATGCCCTTATGCCTGCAAGGGAAATGCTTTATCTGCTAACCCATCTCTCCAATCCCCCTTTTCCCTTTCTTGTTCAGTCTGGGCCCCCAGCCCATGATCTGGTGCTGCTCACATTCCAGGTGCCCCTCTTCTGTTAAACTGCCTGCAAACACCGGTGGTGTCCTCATTAGTAACTCCTAGCTACCTTAACCTCATCCTATTCTGTTACCCAAGATAGTCCCCTGTTCCCCCGTCCCTGCCTCTGCACTGTGGCCCAGGTGCGTTCTTGGTGCTCTCAAGGCTCTCAGGGCACTCATCTCCTGTTTCTAGGCTCTCAGAATGGTTCTCTTTTGTTGCCCCTTGTCGTCATCGAAGAATAGCTTATTTTCTGCCTTCAGGTTACTTCAGTCAGGAAGCCAATTCATCCCATTTTGCTCCATCTTGACTGGAAAAAAAAAATCTATCCAAAGATTTTAAAAAGTAAATAAAGCCAATTTAATAAATCTTGTCAATTAATTTTTCCAACATGGTTTTTTTTTGTTTGTATTTTAATGATACATTTACTGGTTTAAGTAAATTTTCTGTTACTTTTACAGGTTGCCTCTGAATGTTGAATTGGTGAATAGCCCAGACTTACTAGAAACAACCACTGGTGATGTAACAAGGACATCAAGTACTTGGGAAACATCCCCAGCACCAGATGATATTAATGTAGCCACCAGATCAAATGAATTAGAGGAGCCCAAAGTGGAATGTGAGCGTAAGTACCTGTTCTGTGATGTCTCAGGGACATTTACAGCATTTTTGTTTCACGTATTTATTTGGTGGGGCATACCACAGTTGTGCACGTGAAGAAAATTGGAGGCCTCTTTGAGGGTCGCATCTCTCTTTCCACCATGTGAGTTCCAGCGATCAAACTTAGGTCCACATCCTCAGGTTTCGAATCAAGCACCTTTACCTGATGAGCTGTCTCCAATCCCAACACCTTTTGATTACGTCTTTTTTTTTTTTTGCTGTTTAATTTTCATCCTGACTACAGTTTTTCCTCTCTCCTCTCCTCCCAGCCCCTCCCTCATCTCCGCTCTGCCCTGTCCCCAATCCACTCCTCTGTTTCTGTTAAGAAAAGGACAGGCCTCTCCTGAATATCAACAAAACATGGCATATCAAGTTGCAATAAGACTAAGCACCTCCCCTTGTATTAGGTAAACTGGGCAAGGTGGCCCAGTGTAAGGAATAGAGTCCCAAAAACCTGTAGAAGAGTCGGAGATAATCCTGTTCCTGCTGTCAGGAGTCCTACAAGAGGACCAAGCTACACAACTGTCACATATATGCAGAGGGCCTACGTCAGGCCCGTATAGTCTCCCTGGTTGTCAGTTCGATCTCTGTAAGCTCCTATAAGCCCAGGTTAGTTGATTCTGTGGGTTTTCTTGTGATGTCCTTGATCCCTATGGTTCCTACAATCCTTCCCTTTCTTTAGCAGGATTCCCCAAGCTCAGCCTAATGTTTGGCTGTGGGCCTCTGCATCTGTTTCCATCAGCTGCTAGGTGAAGCCGCTCTGGTAATTGGGCTAAGGCACCAATTTTTGAATGTAGCCTACTATCATTATGCATCATTACATTGACATTTTCCCCCCTCCAGTTGTATTTGGTTCTATCCTAGGTCCCTGGGACATCCAGCCTGTGGGTCCTGGCTCTCCAGGCAGTGTCAGGGGTGGACACTGTGCACTCTGATGGCATGGGCCTGAGACTGGACCAGTTGGTTGGCCATTCCCACAATCCCTGTGCCTCCCTTACCCCAGCAGATCCCATAGGCAGAGGCAGACTGTAGGTCGAAGGTTATGTAGATGGGTCGGTGTCCCATTCCCTCTACTGGAAGTCTTATCTGGTCACTGGAGATGGCCAGGCAACTCTTATGGCTATGGGTCTTAGTTGGGGTCATCCTTATAGATTCCTGGGAGTTTCCCTTTCACTGGGTTTCTATCTCACACTAAAATGCCCCCGCTTTCCAATCTTTTTTAGTACTTCCCCCTGCACCTCCTCATCTGATCCCTTATGTTGCCCACCTGCCCATAGTCTGCCCACGAAATCTTTCCTATTTCTCCTCCCCATGGGGATCGGACCATCCCCCTTGAGTCCTCCTTGTTACCTAACCTCTTGGGTCTGTGGATTGTAGCATGGTTATTCTTTACTTTACGGCTAATATCCATATATAAGGGAGTACGTGCCATGTTTGTCTTTCTGGGTCTGGGTTACCTCACTCAGGATGATTCATTTTCTAGTTCCATTCATTTGCCTGCAAATTTCATGCTGTCATTGTTTCTCTAAAGACAGTAAGTCATTAGACATTCTTCACAAAGCTGGAGAGAGATGGCTCAGAGGTTAAGTGCACAGATGCTCTTGCAGAGGACCTGAGTTTGGTTCTCAGCACCTACATTGCATGGCTCACAGTAACCTGTAACTCCAGCTCTAGGGGCCAACATCAGCTCTGGCCTCCAGAGGCAATCTGCACACATACACACCTACCCACACACAAATACCCCTATACACATAATTAAAAATAAATCTTAAAAAAATCTCCATTTCTGTTTTAATATCTGTCAGATATTAGTGTTTCCTCTGTCATAATTTCTTTTAAATAGTTAAATTCTTGCCCTGGGCTCTACCTTCTTTTAGAAATGGTTGCTATTCCTTCAAATGAGAAAGATACACAATAACAAACCAAAGCCTTCACATCTAGATCCTGCCAGAGGCAAGACTACCTTAAAGCAAAGTACTTCTAGGATCATAATAAAAATAGCCTGATATTAGAAGAATTCCTTCTTGGGGGAGATGTAAACAGAATATGAACCCCAGGACAAACCAAGGTCTGATTCCACCAGAGTTCACCCTGGGCAACAGTGAGTTGATTGTGCTTACTTCCAGAGTGTGAGTGTGAAGTCACAGGTGAGTGTTGCTGTGCCTAAAGCAGCTACACTGGAAGGTCTGCACCCAGCGTGACTGAGCGCTCCCCAATAGCCGTGTAAATGGATCCCTGTTAGTCCGTCTTCCCCAGCCTGTATACTCGAGCCCCTCCCAGACACTTTCTCTCCAGCCATGGGCAGGTAGGAGGAAATTGTATCCAAATGGCTAGTGGGAGGCTAGACACTCAGGTGAGGGTCCAGTGACCCACCTCCCCAGGCCAAGCATGGTGGACTCACACAGGCTGCAATTTGATCTCATGAGTATGATGGCTGCTGGGCATAAAGTACTGTGTGTTCTACATCTTATTTATGGAAATGGAAATAATGATTTTATTTAAATTCTGTTGTTATATAAATTTTAAAAGTTTAGTTGTTCCTTCAGTGCCATAATAACTTGTATTACCAAAGAATTATGAAGTATGTAATTATTAGCTGATTGTAGTAGGTGAGAATGACATGGTATAATGGAATAGGGTTCCCTATAAATTATCAAGTGAGAGTCTAGAAAGATGGCTCAGCCAGAGCGGTGCTTGTTGCACAAGTCTGACGATCGAAGTTTGATCTACACGTAAAGGTGGAAGAAGGAAATGCCTCAACACAGTTGTCCCCTGACCTCCACACACCCACGGTGGCATGCACATCCTCCCTCCTACACACTCATCGTGTACATACAATAATAAAAATATATAAATTTTTAAAAGATTAAGATAATTTTCTGTATCCTTTGAAGTCACATGTGAAGTTATTTATGTGATTTACTGGTGAGTCTTAGGAGTAGTTACAATTGTAGCAAAGCAAAGTTTGTATCCATATAAGAAAAATATTTTAAGTACCTTCTGTTACACCCTAGATATAGACACCTAAGGGTGTATTTCTCATCATAGAAGGTATTTAAGAAGGGCTTGAATGCTATTGAAGTGTTGACAGAAGAAATTCTTCCCAAGTAAGGTATCTTGTTAATGTAACTGAGTTCATAGTTATACCATTTCCTTAAAGCCAATCAATGAGACTAGTAAGAGCATTCTTATATTATATTTAATATTCTTATATAATATATTATATATATTCTTATATTAAGAGCGGAAGTCCTGCAGTTAGGGAGATAACTCCACTGGTAAAGTGTATGCCACAAAACCATAAGAATCTAAAGTTCAGATCCTTGGCACCCACATAAAATCCAGGCATGGCAGCACCTGTCTATGACCACAGCAGGGCAGGGGGAAGGGCAGAGACAAGAGGATTTCTTCACTACCCATCCCCCAGGTCACTGGCAAGCCAGTCTAGCTAAATTGATGAGCTCCAGGTACAGAGAGAAACCCTGCCTCCCCCCCCCCCAAAAAAAAAAAGTTAGTAGAAGAAGACTTCTGGTCTCTGTACTACACATATCCTCTCACACAGACACATACGTGCACATACAGAATACAGAATTGTTTAGACAGTGAAAGTCTATTTGGTCTTGTTTTGTTTGGACACAAGGTCTCAGTATGTAGCCCAGGCTCACCTGCAATGTGCTATGTAGTTTAGGCTGACCTTGGGATCACTTGCAGTGATTCACTTGCCCCAGCCTTCAAAGCCTTGGGAATGCAAGCGTATATTCTTATGCCCAACTTCATCTTCTCTGTCTTCCTGTCCAATGTACTCTGTATTTTATAATGGTTATAGTGTGAAAATGAAGAACCATGTTAAGTAATTTGAAGAAGAATACAGCTGGCATCACACAAAGAGACAGGTGAACAAGGCGAAAGTAGCTCAGCCACACGGCTTTTGCAGTGTGCTCAACCAAGCAGATAAGCAAGCAGCACTCCAGGGTGGGAAGGTCTCTAGTTTTGATCCTGTCACAGCGTAGTCACTGTGTCCCCCCATTGGTGGAAGCACACCTTTATAGACTGACATGATTGGCTAATTCTTAAATGCCATTAAAGGAAGAGTTGCAATAGAGTCAAGTCTCAGGAATGTTTGGCATCCGGGGCTCTGTAAACAGGCATGTATGTAAGAGTTTCACAAGGTGGAGGAGGTTTGCAAAATACTGGCTCTGGGTGGTTACCTATCTTTGAAAGAAAAGACTTTCTAACGCACACCCCATGATCCTTTTTTTTTTTCAAATTCAGCCAGCATGCACTGACCTTCTGAAGTCTCTAGTAACAAATTTTTGTTAAAAGTTGCTAGGAAATATTGGTTGAGAGTGGTCTGACGGACACCAAGACAAAGCCCCTAAGGGATTCGTTAGCATGGCTTAAGGTGAGCCACCTTCCTAGGAGTGACCCTTGGACATGAATCTGACTGGGACCAACTTGAATGTTAGGTCAGAGATTATATTCTTTTGACTAGAAGTTTTCTTTTAATGCGCCTTTATCTGTTCTAACATTATCCTCTTTGAAGGGGTAACCCTGATTTATTTAGAACCAGATTAGATGCCAGACATCTCTGGAAAGCATGCAGCTACCATTAGGAACAAGAATATTTCTGTCTTTCAGCCAAGAAACCAGTTCCCTCGAGGGAGAGGGGCGTATTCTTACCCTAAACTGCCCGGCCAGTTTGTGCCCCTGTCCTCATCACTCTTTCATTCATATACCTCCAGAGAGAACCCTAGCTGCCATTGTAGAGTCGGGGCAGTGGCAAGTGGCACTGGGAAACTTTACAGGGGCAACCATTTCAATTTATTCCATGTGGTTGCAGTAACCAAGATGGTAGGTAGTCCAGTCTTAAGGATGTCACATTCCCTCCATCTTGCTGGTGATAAATCCTTTCTACTGTGGTAAGTTCAGTCTGTGATAAAATGAGCCCATCTCACATTGGGACTCAGATCTGTGTGGGATCCACATATTCCACAGGCTGAGTGGAGACTCTCACCTTCTTTTCTTTTAAAACCACAAAAAAACAAAAACAAAAACACGGAATAGCCTAAGTTAGGTTAACATGGGCAGAACAGGAGACAGTCCGTGTGCCTAGGTGTGTAAGTCCAGGAAAGTAAAGATACAAGGAGGAGTCCCTGTATCTCACCAAGTTGTATTTGTAAACGCCAACCAGTGTCATCTGGATCCCATGTGATCTCTGCACAGCTTCACAGTACATGCGTGTGCTGGCAAAGGAGCCTGTTAATGAAGCAGCCCACTTGTGTGCTGTAGCTCTGAGAGCCCTGGTGAAACTGGGACAGAGAAAGTCACCTTGGCCCCGTGTTCTCCCGCCTGAGCATAGTGACAGCTGAGATCAGACGTGTTGACACTTGTGAAAACAGTTCATCCTGACTGAAAGCTGAGCAGCCTTGTGCGATGCTTTTACTTAGTAAGAAAAACAGTTGCCTGGAGCCCACATGGTTTTAAAGTGAGGCCACCACTCCAAGTGGTTATCTGCCCTGCCTTCCCCCAAACTTGATTCCAAAGTTTCCTGGCTTCTCTGAGGGAACTATGGTGGAGAAGAAAATCCTATGTCCGGAGAGAAAAGTTAAGGAGCTAAATGTAACATTTAGTTTCCATCATGTGGCCATCAGTCACTCGCAAAAGCCCGAGGGCATAAGATCTGAGGTTCTCTTTTAGGGGAAAGGGAGGTTTTGAAGATCCCTTCCACGTTGTTAGATTTCTTTAATCTCCATTTTCATCAGATAAAGGACTGAGTCCCTTTCTCCAAGAGAGAATGTAATCTTAGTGTTCTGTTGCTGTGAGGACACTGTGGCCAAGGCAGCTCTTACAGAGGAAAGCATTTGGGGCTGACGTAAGAGTTTCAGAGGTTTAGTCCATTATCACATGGTGGGGAGCATGGGGGCTCACAGGCAGACATGGTGCTGGAGAGGTAGCTGAGAGTTCTACATTCCAATCTACAGGCAGCAGGAGAAGAGAGACTGGGCCTGGTTTGGACTTTTGAAACCTCAAAACCCACTCCCAGTGACACACTTCCTCCAGTAAGGCCACACCCACTTCAACAAGGAAACACCTCCTAGTCCTTCTAAAGTAGTGTCATTCCCTGGTGACCAAGCATTCAGACGTGAGACCATGGAGGCCCTTTTTACTGAAGTCATCACATCTTGTTGACAACATGTTTGGTTAGGAGTTGGTAGACTCAGTTCTCACAGGACCCTTGAATTAGTCCAGAAGACCAAAGGCTTACAGGCGGGCCTTGGTCCACACAGAACAATAGTTCTTTATCATCTGTGGGTTGGGTTTTAGTTTTCTCATTACCCTTCTAGTTGTTAAGTACAAGTCCCAGTGAACCATCAGAGAAAGTTTATTCTTACTTTCATTTTTCCTAGAGCTCTGTTTATTTTTGTGATTTCCTATCCTGACTTCCCTTAGAAACTGAATCCCCACTTCCCTGGACTAGAGGCTTCTATACTCCAAGACAACCAACCACTTTGCCACGTCTTGTCGGGTTGATACAAATCCCTGACTGTGTGGTCACCTGAGCACTGGTGGAATTGTGGATGAGCTCCACATTCCCTTCATGTTCAGAGCATATCTGATCCCCTTGAGCGCAGTACCCAGGGCATCCCCATGCCAAGCACATACTTTGTCACTCCTCGTAAGTCTTCTTCCTTGTTCTGTGCGTGGAGTAGCCCGAGACTGCCGAGCTCTACTGGGCCCTTACCCACATTGCTGGGGAATTTTACATTCTGAGATGGTACTGATCCAAGGAACATCGCTCACTGAGAACCTGGGGGCCGCTACAACAAAGCTATGGAACATGGTCTCCCAAAGGGAAGGGGATCTGAGTACTCCAGATGGATTCAAAATATAGGATATCCCCAAATTGTAAAGGAATATTCCTGCAGTCATACAAAGAGAAACACAGAAGTAACTCAGCAAGGCTGTTACAAAAGGGTGCTTAGCCCCCAAACCAAGCAAGCACACCAGGTGAGAAGTTTGCTGTGGCACCCAGTGGTGGGAGCTCTGCCTTACAGTCTAACATGATGGGCTAATCCCTACTTGGTGCAAAGGGAAGGGGTGTGATAGAGTCAAGTCTCGGGTCTGGCATCCAGAGATTGTCTAAACAGGAATGGATCCAGAGTTTCACAAGATGGAATGCTGGCCCTTGGAGTACTACTCACCTCAGAAAGAAAAGAGTTTTTCTCGTGGTAAGAGTGGGTACAAATAGTAGCTAGATTTTTGTTTGGTTTTGGTTTTGCTCATTTGTTCTGTGTCTCAAGACGTTTGTCAGCCAAGTAGTTTTAGTTCAAAACAAGAAAATATTAATTTATCAGTGCAAGCTGAAACATTTGTGGTGTCAGCATCATGCTAAGTTCAGTCAATAACTTAAAACTTACCAAAGTCAAAAATAGGAATTAAGTAAATGGGTCAGTAAATGGATTTAGTAAAGACCAGCATTGAGTTAGTGACTTTTAGCTCTGAGCATTAAGATCCCTGGAGAGTTTAAGAAATGTCCAGTACCTAGAACAGTGGTTCTCAACCTGTGGGTCATGACCTCTTTGGGGAGCAAATGACCCTTTCATATATCCTACATATTAGATATTCCTATTACCATTCATAACAATAGGAAAATTACAGTTAGGAAGTAGCAGCAAAAATAATTTTATGGCTGAGGATCACCACAGCATGAGGAGCTGTGTTAAAGGGTCAGCCCGCAGCATTGAGAACCACTATAGAGAGTCTGGTAAAAAGTATTCTTGACCAGTGAGACGGTTCAGTGGGTAAAAGTGCTTGCTAAGTAAGCCTGGCGGCCTGAGTTTCATCTGCAGACCCCGTGGTGGCTAGAAAGAATGAAAAGGATGCAAACAGCCTCTCAGAGCTGTCCTCCTACCTACACACACACACATGCGCATTCCAGAACTAGAGATTTTAAAAGATTAGTAGGACAAGTCTGGGAATTCAGAATTCCTTGAAGGCCCTAGACATGGTTCTAATGTGCCAGCACAAGAAGCCCCTAATGTGTTGACAGGCATTTTCAGAAGGTCCAGAAGGTCCCTTCGACCCAACAACCTTTTTTTTTTTCTTTGTCTTTCTGTCAGGGACAAGTTTTCTCTTTTAGCCTTGGCTGGCCTGGAACTCACATTTTAGTGGCTGGCCTTGAGCTCAGATCCGCCTGCCTCTGCCTCCCAAGTGCTGGGGTTAAAGATATGTGCCACCACTGCCCAGCTTATTCCACTCTTAATGAAGAAGGCCAGAACTTCAGTGTACACCCTCCTGTACTGTCAGAGCCAGGCAGACTAATGAGACAGATTGTTTTTTTTTTTTCTTCCAGCATTAAATGATGACACAGAGAAGCTTAAACAGCTCGAAATGGAGCAGAATATCTTGCCATCTCCTCGACCTCCCATTGACATTAATGTCAACAGCCAGGTACTGGGATCTTCTCTGTGTCTACTTGTTATTCAGCACCGTCATACTTCCCAGAAAGACTCGCTTTCCAGGACACTTGTCTTCATTTGCTGTATGACACTATCTGCCGTAAAGGCTATGACCAAAAGCAGCTGGAGAGGGGCAGGTTAGATTCATCTTACAGCTTACTGTCCTCCATGAAGGGAAGTGAGAGCAGGAACCCAAGGTGTGAAGTAAAGCAAAAGCCATAGCAGAATGCTGCTTACTGGCTTACTGTCCATGACTTGCTTAGTGAGCTGTCTTTTACAACCCATGACCCTACCCTGGTGCAGCACCGCCCGCAGTGGGCCGGGCTCAACCACTTCAGTCATTAACCAGCTGCTCAGTTTGCCAACAGGCCAATCTGATGAGGCGGTTTCTCGGGTGAGATACCCTGTTTTGGTGGGACGTCTGTCTGTTGAGCTCTGATAGACCTGTGTTCCCATTTTAGAAGGTGAAATGTGTGGCTGTGTAGACGGGAAGGAGGCAAGTTGTGTGACAACATTAAGAATTTTAGTGAGGCCCTGCTGTGGTGGTGCACGCCTTTAATCCCAGCACTCAGGAGGCAGAGGCAGGCAGGTCTCTGTGAGTTTGAGGCCAGCGTGGTCTATAAGAACTGGTTCCAGGACAGGCTCCAAAGCTACACAGAGAGACATCCTATCTCAATAAATAAATAAATATAAATAAATAAATCTTGCTGCACAGAGAAACACACACACACACTTATGAAATAAAAATAAATGCAGAAAAAAATAATTGTAAGGTCAGAAGCAGGCATAGCTCAGTGAGTTCAACACTATCTTAAAAATAAGTAAAATTTAAGGTTTTTCATGATGTTTGTTTGTTTGTTTGTTTTTGAAACAGAATTTCTCTTTTTCGCCCTGAATGCCTTGTAACTCATTCTGCAGACGAGTCTAGCCTCAAACTCAGATCTGCCTGCCTCGCCTCCTAAGTCCTTGGACTGTCCAACTCATGGTGGTTTTTTAAAGACACACTGAGGGGCTAGAGAGATAGTCAGTGGTCAAGAGCACTAGGTTTGATTCCCGGCACCCACGTGGAGGCTCACCTATATAGTTCACAGTCCTCTGTCACTGGAGCCTCAGGGTATCTGATGCCCTCTTCTGACTGCTATGGGCACTGCACTTACCATGCACATACAGTCACATTCGTTCACATAACTGAAAAACTAAATAAGCACAGAGAAAAAGCATTACTGGGCTGACTGAAAGTCATAGGTTAAGTGGTTTGTATATTTTCTCGAGTATCTCGAGCAAGAGATGCCTGAGGTGTATAATTTCCTGCTTGTCTGAATATAAACGTTTAACATTCCTGTTTCCACATAACTGTGGCCTATCAAGAGTGATTTTATTTTTTTAATATTCAGGAAGAAGTGGTAAAGTTGACTGAGAAATGTCTTAATAATGCCATTGAGAGCCCAGGAATGAATGCAGTAAGGGTTCCTCCTGACTTCAAGAGCAATATTTTGAAGGCTCAAGTAGAAGCAGTGCATAAGGTAAGCTTTCTCCACTAGCTATGGTCCTGATGTGTGCTGGCTAGTTTTATGTCATCTTTACACAAGTTATAGTGATCAGAAAGCAGAAATTGAGAAAATGCCTCTAAAAGATTGGGTTGTAGGCAGGCCTGTTGGGCATTTTCTTAATTAGTGATTGGTGGGTGCTGTCACCCCTGAGCTGGTAGTCCTATAAGAAGGCAGACTGAGCAAGCCATGAAGAACAAGCCAGGAAGCAGCATTCCTCCATGGCCGCTGCATCAGCTCCTGCCTCTGGATTTTTGCCCTGCTTGAGTTTCTCTCCTGACTTCCTCCAGTGATGAGCATCCATGTGGAAGTGTAAGCCAAATAAACCATTTCCTTCCCAAGTTGCTTTGGTCATGGTGTTTCATCGCAGCAATAGTGACTCTTAGCTAGGACATGATGCCAAACAAACACAAAACATACATAACAGTTTAGATGATAAATGTAAAATATGAAAGTCTAGGCTTTAGAATCTCGTTTCTATTCTGTCCCCTTCCGATTTTGTGTTTTGGGGCAAATTAGTTTATTTTTCACGCTTTGTTTTCTCTTTTAAATAAGATGATAATGCCTTCCTTAAGATTCTTTGTAAGAATGAAATAAAGTAATAAATGCAAAGTACAAAGAAACATAACAAACACTAAAAAGTATGGCCCCGTTGGGCATGGTAGCACACGTCTTTAATCCCAGAACTCAAGAAGCAGATACAGGTGTATCTCTTGACTCCCATGCCAAGCAAGGTTATACCATGTCTCAAAAAATAAATAAATAAATAAATAAATAAACAAACAAATAAGCCCTGATAGAGTGGTCACTGTAACAGCTGATGCGATTAACATATAATCTGAATTTTTTTAATGTTCTTAGAAAAGGGCCAAGGAACTGGTTTGTCCCCTGTGAGGCTGATTTCCTGACCTGGGACTTCCTAGCCTTTAGCAGAGTGGTATGAATGCTTATTTGCATGCTCTCTGGCTCATGGCATCTTACAGCAGTCTAAATGGACCAAGACAACATGATCTTCCATTTCAATTGTTTGCTTCTGATTGAATAAAATGAGAAATAATTTTTTAATACCTTTAAAATACAAAGATCTTATTTTATAGTGACAACCACTTTATAAGGAAAATTCTAGGAGCAGATGCTTTCATGGTAAATATCTACCCAATACTTTATTTTCTATTTGTATATTTTGAGAAATGATCTCTCTATTGTGTTGCTCTGGTTGTCCTGGAACTCACTGTGTAGACAAGGCTGGCCTTAAATTCACAGAGTTCTGTCTGCCTCCCAAATGCTATGGTTAAAGATGTGCACCACCATGCCTGGCTCTACACTATATTTTAAAAAGAAGCAATAACAATTCTGTACAGACCCTTTCAGAAAATAAGACAGGAAGAAGAATTTCCTGATTTACACTATTAGTGTCTTTCTCATACCAAAACTAGGGGAAAGTATTGTAAGAAAAAGATTCCAGACCAGTACTCCTCAAATGGGGACAGGCAAGTTATTGAACGTGTAATCAAAATCTGATGGACAGTGTATAAATACAGTTATACTTCATGATCACACAAAGTGTGTGTCGGGAGAAAATTTGGTTTACTATGCAAAACCCTTAAGTTTACATATTTACAAATATGTACAGTTAGGCCAGGGGTGGTGACACATGCCTTTAATCCCAGCTCTTGGGAGCAGAAGCATGTGGATCTCTGATTTTATAGGGGCTACCCCATGACCTTTAAATCCACTTTACAAACTGAATGACTCTTACACGTTACCCAGTTTGGCTGCCAGCATAGGAGACAGCCTTAGCCCACTCTGAACCACAGTTCTGTGTTCTGACCCTGAAGAAATACTTCTCAGAAGATTTCACCTCAGCGATGCTGGTCTCTTCTTAATCACAGTGTATTTCTCAGTCTCAGTAATGTTGGGTAAAAACTTCTGGATTTCTTACTTAAAATATTCCTCACAGGGCTGGAGAGATGGCTCAGTGGTTAAGAGCACAGGCTGCTCTTCCAGAGGTCCTGAGTTCAATTTCCAGCAACCACATAATGTCTCACAACCATCTGAAATAAGATCTGGCGCCCTCTTCTGGCGCACGGGCATACATGGAGGCAGAATGTATACATAATAAAAATAAATAAATCTTAAAAAAAATATTCCTCACATTTAAGAAACCAAATACATAGCTGTCCATATTATTTTTGTCATGTAAATTTGAAAAATGCTGGTGTTGAATCTTTGTGAATTTTGTTTGTATTGGGTAAAAAATCTGTAATGTCTTGAGTAGTTAATGGCTGTGTGGTAAGAAAATGTGCCAAGCATATTCAACATTATTATTACTGTTATTATCATTAACTATTGACCTGGTTGTTGGATAGAATTGTATTAGGTGTGGTACTGGTAAGATATAATTACCTCTTATTTGAACTGAAGCAAGTTAATTTTTCTGTTTTTACAGGAAAGAAAGATAAATTTGTTACTTGAGTTTCTTTTCAAAGATTCAGTGTTTGTTATTATTTTATTTTCTTAGGCTTCAAGAGAAGATAGTTTAACTCAAAAGAATGCCAGCATTCAGGATGCTGCCACAAACAGGTACAATCCTGGCGAAAGTGAATTAAGTTGATTTTCTTAATTTTTTTTCCTGCTACCTCTTCTTTGTATATCATATTTATTTGAAAGACAGCTTGGATTCACTCTTTACCATCCAACAGAGAGAGCTAGTGTCTAGTTTTAGATTGTCTGAAGATATTTTTAGTCATTCTGCATTCTCAATTCTCTTTAAGGATTCCAACTATGGAACAAAATCTCATGTTTAATTGGTGTGGCTGTGATTCCTGAGTGCTGTTTCCTTACCACACACTCCTGCATTGGAGGTATCACTTGGAGAAAGATGTCTAGGTCTAGATGTCCTCCCCTTGTTGACTCCATTTGGATTTCTTTCATATGTGAATATATTTTAGGAAGCTTCTTGTCAGAAACCAGCTTCATAAGAGAACTACTTACCAGGGTAGGGGCATGGGGATTAGAAAAATAAGCAAAGAAAATGAAGACGCAAGTGAAAATAGCCAACAGAAGCATAGGGTAGTATCGGGAGGAGTTCCGGTGAATACTGAAAATTCACCCACATTTAATTTCCATTTGCTTAAATACCCTGACCCCTAAAGAGTAAGATTTAAAAAAAAAAAACTGCGTTAACATGATACAAGGAATGAACAGACTAATTGAAAGGTTGCGGACTACATTCTTAGTTAAACATTCTGTTGCTAAAACAAAACAAGTAACACTCACACCCTAGACCAAAACATTCTGTAGGCAAAACCACTCTGGGTGGAATCCATTGTTATCTCCATAAGGGAATAGAAACTAAGTTGAATCCTTAGAGTTTTGTTTGAGGTAAAAACATATCTACTTCTTAATACCTGAAATATCAGGTCTGGTTATTAGCCACACCTGTTGTCTGAACTGTTGACAACTTTGAAAGAACAGAAGTTCCAATTCTCTGACCATTAGTCAAGGTAGAATGGACCCATCCATACCTATGGGCCCTGTCGGCTCCTACTGTAGTAGGTTTCTTAGTTGTCCTTCCCCATATCCTACCTTTATCCCTCTTTTCCATTTAATACCCCACACACCAAGTTCCCCCACATGTCTTCATAACAATGTATTCTATTTACCTTTCCTGAGATTCTCTCCTCCCCTGTCCCCCAGTCCCTTCCTAGGTACCTCACCTCTATGTTTATACAGATCATAGTGTACATATCAGAGGCTTAAAAACCAGCATCCATGAAGCTGGAAAGAAGGCTCAGTGATTAAGAGCAGTGACTGTTCTTCCAGGGGACCAGGTTCAATTTTTAACACCCACATGGCAGCTCACAACTCTCTGTAACTCCCTTTCACAGACATGTGCAAGCAAAACACCAATGCACATAAAATAAAAATAAATAAATCATTAAAAAAACAGCATCCCCATATGTAAGAGAAAACATACAATATTTGTATAATTCATTTAGGGTGGTTTTTTTCCTAACTCCATCCATTTGCCTGTGAAATCCATAATTTTGTAGCAGGTAAATAATATTCCATTGTATAAATATACCACATTTTCATTATCTACTCATCAGTTGATAGACTGTTTGCAATTTCTGGCTATTATGAATAGAGCAGCAATGAACGTGGTTGAGCAAGTGTCTCTGTAGTAGGTTGTAGTGTTCTTTGATATATGCCCAAGAGTGATATAGGTGGATGTTGAGGTAGATGTATTCCAAGCTTCCTGAGGAACCAACACACTGATTTCCATAGTGACTGTATGAATTTGTACTCCCACCAGTAATGAACAAGCGCTGCCCTTCCTCCACATCCTCCTCATCATCAGCTGTCATTTGTTTTATTGACCTTGGCCATTCTGACCCGTGTAAGATGAAATCTCAAAGTAGTTTTGATTTGCATTTTCCTGTTGACTAAGGATGTTGAACATTCTGTTAAGTGTTTCTCAACCCTTGCGTTTTATCTTTTTGAGAACTCTGCTTAGTTCTATACCTCATTTTTTAATTGGGTCATTTGTTTTTTTGATGTCCAGTTGTGTGGTTTTTTTTTTTTTTGTTCTTTATGTATTTTAGACAGTAACCCTCTAACAGATGTATAATTGGTGGAAATCTTTTCCCATTGTGTAGCCTACCACTTTGTCCAAATGGCGATGTCTTCTTTGCCATGGTGAGGCTTTCAGGTTCCTGGGGTCCATTTACTAATTGTTGATCTTAGGCCTGGGATACTGGTGTCTTGTTCAGAAAGTCTTTTTCTGTGTCAGTGAGCTCAAGACTATTCCCCACATTCTCTTCTGTCAGATTCAGGGCATCTTTTGTTGAGGTCCTTGATCCACTTGGAGGTGAGTTCTCTGCAGGGTGATGAATCTGCATCTATTTGCGTTCTTCCACATGTAGCCATCCAGTTTGTCAGCACCATTTGTTGAAGATGCTGTTTTTTTTCCAGTGTGTTTTTCTGGCTTCTTTATCAAAAACCAGGTGTCCATAGTTGTGCGGACTTAGTCTGGGTCTTCATTTTGATTTCATTGATCAATGTTTCTGTTTTTAAGCCAATATCATGCTGTTTTTATTACTATAGCTCTGTAGTCCATCTTAAAATCTAGGATGGTGATACCTTCATTAGCTCTTTCATTAATCAGGGTTGTTTTAGCTTTTTTAGAGTATTTCCATATGAAGTTGAAAATGAGGTTTGAAAAGTTCTGTGGAGAATTGTGTTGGAATTTTAATGGGAATTGCATTGAATCTATAGATTGCTTTTGATAGGATGACCATTTTCACTATATGAATCCTACCAATTCATGAGCATGGGAAATCTTACATCTTCTAATGTCCTCTTCAATTTTCTCAATATCTTGAAGTTTTGTTTTGTTTTGTTTATGAATATAGTGTTCTATCTACATACATGTCTGCATTCCAGAAGAGGGCATCAGATCTCATTATAGATGGTTGTAAGCCTCCATGTGGTTGCTGAGAATTGAACTCGGGACCTCTGGAAGAACAATCAGTGCTCTCATACTTGGAGCCATCCCTCCAGCCCTTAAAGTTTTTATTATACAAGTCTTTCACTTGCCTTTTTGGATGTGTGTGTGTGTGTGTGTGTGTGTGTGTGTGTTGTCTTACTGCTCTAGCTAAGAATTCAAGTACTATATTGAATAGGTATGGAGAGAGTGAACAACCTTGTCTTATTCTTCTTGATTTTAATGGAAATGCTTTGAGTTTCTCTCCGTTTATGTTGGCTGTGGGCTTGCTGTAAATTGCTTTTATATATTTAAATATGTTCCTTGTATCCCTAGTCTCCTAGTTTCCTTGGTGCCTGTTGTAATGTCCCCTTTCATCTCTAATTTTATTAATTTGGATCTTTTCTGTGTATCTTCGGCTTATTGGGCTAAGGGTTGGTTAAGTCTCACTGATTTTATCGAAGAACCAACTCGTTTTATTATTCTTTGTAAATTTTTTGGCTGTTTGTTTTGTATTTCACTGATTTCAGCCCTGGGTTTGATTATTTCTTGCCCACTGTGTCAACTCTTTGGGGATGTTATTTGTTCTTTTTGTTCTAGAACTTTCAGGTATGCCACTAAGTTATTATATAAGATCTCACCAATTTTTGTATGTAGCCACTTAATGCTGTGAACTTGCCTTAAAACTCCCTTTATTGTGTCCGATTGGTTTGGATATGTTGTGTTTTCATTTTCATTCCATTCTAAAAGTTGATTTCTGTCTTAAACCGTTTTTCATTCGATCACGAGTTCCATTTCCATGAGTTTGTATACTTCCTGTTGTTTGTTGTTGATACCCAGCTGTAACCTGTGGTTGTCAGATAGGATGCAAGCGGTTTCAGTTTTCTTCTACTTGTTAAGACTTGCTTTTTGTCCAAGTATGTGGTCAGTTCTGGAGAAAGGTCTATGACCAGTTGAGAAAAAGGTGTTTGGGTGAAATGTTCTGTAAATATCTGCAAGGTCCATTTGAATTGCGTTGTTATTTAACTCCAGCATTTCTCTGTTTAGGCTTTTGTCTGTTTGACCTGTCTATTGATAAGAGTGGAGAATTGAAGTCACCCACTGTCACTGTCTGGGTGTCAATGTGTAGTAGTGTTTCTTTTATGAACTTGGGTGTCGCAGTGTTTGGTGTACCAATGTTTAGAGTAGCAATATCCTCTTGGTGAATTTTTCCTTTGATAGCTATGTAGTGTCCTTCTCTATCTCTTCTGGTTGGTTTTGGTATGAAGTCTATTTTGTCAGCTACTAAAATGACTACACCGACTTGCTTCTTAGGCCATTTGCTTGGAATGCCTTTTTTCATCCTTTTACCTTGAAGTACTATCTATAATTGATGGTATGTGTATTTCTTTGATCCTTTTTTCTAACCCAATCTGTTAGTGTCATTTTACTTGGTAATTGAGACTATTAATGTTGAGAGTTATAAATGAGCAGTGTTTGTTGATTTCTGTTATTTTGTTCATGGTGTGGATTTCCCCCTTATTTTGATGTACTATTTTGGGATTATTTATTCCTTGTGTCTTCTTGGGTGAGGTTAACCTCTTCAGACTTAATGTTTACTTCTAGTGCCTTCCATAGAGCTTGATTTTTAGCTAGATATTGCTTAAATTTGCTCTTATTGTGGAATGTTTTTCTTTCCCAATCACTCACAATTGATAGTTTTGCTGGATATTATAGTATGAACTAACATATGTGGTCTAGAATTTGTAGAATGTTCATCTAGCCCTCTGGCTTTCAAATTCTCCATTGAGACATCAGGTGTTATTCTAATGGGTCTGCCTTTATATGTTACTTGGTCTTTTTCCCAGCAGCTTTTTATATACTTTCTTTTTGTTCTATGTGTTTAATATTCCGGCAATTGTGTACTGAAAGACCCCTAGTACGGGGAGACTCTCACTCAAGTCTCGGGATAACACGACCCCCTAATAACTCACGAGAGACCGTCCTTGCTGCAATCACACAAGGTTTATTCGACAAGACAGGAACCAGTGCACTGGGGCCAAGACTCATAACCCATGCAGGGGAGGAGTTTGACCCCGAGTAACTGGGTGAAGGG